TGTTAGAAATCAGAAGCAGGTTGAATTTTTTAAAAAGGACAATTTATTACCTTAAAACTAAAATTAAAATTATTACACAATTATCCAAAAATTAATGACACAATCATCAAAAAGAACAAATTCTTAAATAAACAAAATGAAAACAATCTACCCTCGCTAAATATACAAAATTACAAAACAAAACCTGAATGTATGTTGCACGACGGATGGTGACCGAATAGGGGCAAGGCGCCGGTATTACACAGCTTATATAGTAACTGTCATCCTAACCCCACTCTTAACCTAAGTAATATCTAACACTATCATTACAAATTATTTTACTGTATTAGGATTAATCGTTGTGGTCTTTTTTTAGAAATATTGATAAAAATTACAATAAGTTGTTGATGTACATTTTTCCCTATTACTTTATTTAATTTGCTGAGTACCCTATAACCATTTTTCACGCGTCATAGCTTATTGTAGGTAGTTAATATAAACTGTCATCTCTAATAAAAATAGTGATTCGTTATTTGCACACCGTCAAATTGTATTTTTTTTTTCTGTACAACTACAACTTAAAAAAAAAGTAATTTCCTTATTTTGTGGAGAAAAATGGGCAAAGGAAGACAGATACCTATTGAAACACGATCAGTTATTATTGTTTTAAAAAGTGAAGGATATTCTGAAAGAGATATTGCAAAAAAACTCGGTATATCGCCTAAGGGAGTTCATTACACACTTGCTAGACACCGGGAAACTGGCAGTTTATCGGATCGAAAACGGAGCGGAAGACCAAAGACTACTTCTGCAGCAGAGGACAGGTTCATAATAACGACTTCAAAACGTAATCGTCGACTGACAGCACCGGATATCACTCGGGAGTTGAATAAAACGCGATCCAATAAAGTGTCAGTTTCTACAGTGAAGAATCGTCTTTCATCTGCTGGTCTGCGTGGTCGTGTAGCAGTAAAAAAACCATTATTACGGACAATACATAAGAAAAAACGTCTGCAATGGGCAAAACAGCATGAACATTGGACAGTGGAACAGTGGAAAAGTGTATTATGGACGGACGAATCAAAATTTCAAATCTTTGGCTCTAATCGACGAGTGTTTGTGCGCCGCAGATCCCATGAACGAGTATCTGAAAGCTGTTTGGTGTCATCAGTAAAACACGGTGGTGGTAACGTTTTAGTCTGGGGGTGTTTTGCTGGAACAATTGTCGGAGATCTTGTTAAAATTGATGGAATTATGAGGAAGGAGCAGTATTTGCAAATATTAAGAGATCATGCTTTGCCTTCAGGGATACGTATTGTGGGTGAACCATTCGTGTTTCAACAGGATAATGATCCCAAGCACTCAGCTAGAATATGCAAAGCCTATCTAGAAGAACAGGAGTCGAATGGTACGCTTGAACTGATGGTGTGGCCCCCGCAATCACCTGACCTATCGCCTATAGAAAAATTATGGGATGAGTTGGATCGAAAAGCTAAAGAACGTTTGCCACAGAGCACTAGAGAGTTGTGGCAATATCTACAGGAAGCTTGGAAAGAAATTGGCACTGAATATTTGATTAAATTACTGGAGAGAATGCCTAAAATTTGCCAAGCTGTTATTAAGGCAAGGGGTAGTCATATTAATGAAAATCAATTATAAATTATTTTTGTGTTTAATAAAGAAAAAAGTGGTTTTATTTTGTAGTTTAATTGTTGATTTAATTAAATACCTAATCAGTACTGGTAATATTGTATTAATTCCTATATTTTCCTTCAAAGATTATTAATATCTTAAGTGCTTCCAAACTTTTTGTCGGTAGTGTATGTTCTCTTGGAAACTAACATATTTTAACAACGAACCATTTCTGCATTTTGTTAGCGATAATAGCCACTATATTTTATTTTATGCTACCGCGCTGATCACAGTTGATAGCGATATGTGATATATCATGATTGATTGTTTATCTATGCATTTTGATTGCTGATATTTTTGAAAAACTTCATTTACGCAATATATTAATTATAAGCAAAAACAAGGTCTTGATTTTTATGTAGGTTGTTTGAAAGTACAGAAAAGATAAATTCTGTTTGAAGCCATTTGAAACATTATCGCAGGATGTTAAATGATGCATTATACCATTAGGGATCAAAACATATACATGTGTACACATTTTATGATTTAGTTATTGTTGTTGCACCTTCCAAAAACTACAGATCTTACAATATACCCTATGCACTTTCATGCATTATCTTAACATTATAGATATCACAAATATGTGCAATATCAACCTTTGTACAATACCGGTCATAAATATAATATAAGTGATTCGAAGAACTACGATAATATCGAAATGGTTATCAAATATTTCTTCATTGAAAAATTTAGCAGCAACTGACTCTTAACAGATTTCACCTTTTATACATTAGAGAACTTAGGTTGCGGCTACAAGGGCTAATATTTATAATATTTATTATTATTTTTTTGAATTAAGTTAAAATAACAAAAATAGACACAAAAATAGAAAAATATAAATAAGACCGATACAATATTGTGTGCCCTATGATTTAATGTAAAGTACCTGCTACGTGTGATCTTATTTTTTTTATGGGACAAGCCGACAAACGAGCATTCATTTCACCTGATGGTAAGCAATCGGCGTCGCCCGTAGACACCTGGAACACGAGAGGCGTTACAAATACTTGACCGGCTTTTATGGATTAGGAATTTGAGAATAATTGGGCCTCCGGTAACCTCACGACGAAACACAACGCCACCGTTGTTTCACGTCGGTTTTTAGTGAGGCCGTGGCGTCACTATAATTGACAGGGGTGTTATTGTTAACAATTTATAGCAGACAATTTACATAAACGTAACATTATAATTTTTAAATACCGAAAAGTTAAGTAAAAAAGTATGTAGTTTTTTTTCGGCAGTAGCTTGCGACCTTTCGCCCAACTAGGCATTTCAAACAAAAACAATTTGGTTATTTTAAAACATACAAAGAAATAAACGATTTCCTGCATTTGACTACTTGTGAGCCAAAAGTACATATTGATATACGCACAGCTTTAGCATCGGTTTGTCAATCTTGATTATTTTTTCATAGAGTTCCGCCGCTAATAATACCAATTAAAATTATCAAATAACATCAAGCTTTAATTATGATATTAAGATTTTATCACGCGTTGTGATAATTATAGTATTTAACAGAAAAGTTCGTTATTTAACTTAAACCAGCAAAATGATTAAGCGACGCCTGGTTTTGTTTTTTTGTGTTTTTAGTTTTAGTTTTGGGCATCAATTAAAACAGTATTTATCGTTTAATTTTAAGCAACAATCAGGATGTATTATTGCTGCAGTGTCACAAAATTATACAAGTGGATACAGTGATAAAGTTAATTACAGTGAAAAATTAAATTGTGTGGCTTCGGATGTGGTTCAAATACCATCTGGATTATTAGAAGCAAACATTTTCGTTGAATCAACCTCAGATAATGATACAATCTCTCTACTGGTATTCGAAGAACACGATGAGATAGCAGGTAAAGTCGACATCACTGTTTCAAAAACTGACAGTAAAAGTGGACCTCACACGCTACAAATGCGAGTTACCAAAATGACAGGCTATGTAAGTATTAAATGTTTCTTGTAATATAATTAAACTTAATGGAATGTTTCACTAGAATTGAGTAAATAAATATAGATGATGACCGATTTCTTGTCAAACAAAATAATAAATAAGACCAAAAGACCAAGAACAAAGTTTAAACTATGTATATTCGTATGGATACAACAAATTCACATATATACAATTGTATTTACTTTACACAATATATTACAGGGTCCCCAAATATTAACAACCATTAAATTAAGTACTACGTTGTGTACTAAATAATTATTTAGGCACTGTACATGGCAATAAATCGATCGAAAATCGAGGTATTCGTAGAGACATTGTATTAAAATTCTATAAAACAGAATGTTATTTTGAAAATGTTACGCAATAATTAAATAAACTATTGTCTGTCAATTACAGGTGGTCATCATAGCGCGAACTGCATTGACATCAAACATTTTGGTTGAAACTGTCTACGTCTTACTAGATGATCCATTGGAAGATGCTATAAATAGCAAAGATAACAATCATTTTACTTTATCTCCATTTAACGGAGTATCTGGGATTACTTTGCCTACAGTATCATTTCCAACTCCGTCAACGGCAGCAACTACTACGACAGAAGAGCCAACAACTGTTTCTTCAACGACCACAGAAGAGCCAACAACCGTTTCATCAACGACCACAGAAGAACCAACCACTGTTTCATCCACAACCACACAAGAACCAACCACTGTTTCATCCACAACCACACAAGAACCAACCACTGTTTCATCCACAACCACACAAGAGCCAACCACTGTTTCATCCACAACCACACAAGAACCAACCACTGTTTCATCCACAACCACACAAGAGCCAACCACTGTTTCATCCACAACCACACAAGAACCAACAACTATTTCATCAACGAACACAGAAGAGGCAACAACTGTTTCATCAACGTCCACAGAAGAACCAACCACTTCACTATCTACTATGGTACAGGAACCCACATCTTCACCACCAGATTATACTACAGAGACTACATCTTCTTCAATAAACTCCCTCACAGACACCACATCCACTACTATAGATTCCACATCAGAAACTACAGGGGTAACACAGGGAGAAACTACGACACTTCCTTCAGATCAATCTACCACTGCACCGGGAACTACTTCGGTATCTACAACTGAAAACCCTGAGATTGCCGATAATCCAAAGTTGAGCAGATTCATAATAGCAATAATAGTTGTAAGTTCTGTTGTTGTTTTAGTCGTTATTGTCGTTATTATCTGGATCTTTAATTGTTCTAGCAAAGGCTTAATGTGTACTTCTAAAGCATATAATTTTAGTGATACTAAAGACGTTGTATAGTTAGTATATTGGTATATAGAACTGTTATTGAATTGTCTACTGACACGCAATTCGATTCTGTGCATAAGTAAACTCTTTTTATCACTTAAAAAAAAAGGAGGATAAGAGTTGGTTTCGTTAAAAAGCTACTGTCTAAGTACTGTCAACCATTTTAATAACACACTTCTATTAGGTCGATCTGTGACGGAACATTGTAATAAAATCTAGTAATTGAAATAACACACACCTCTAAATGTACCTATCATCATGAAACTTGGCAATTGTATGTGGATTAGATAACTATCAAACTTTGGTAGGTTTAATGATGGAATTAGAAATAAAAAATATTTTTAGATTCATTTGATATGTCGATTTTGCCCGATAAGGAGGAGTATAAGTATATTATAATTAAATAGTGTTAGTATTTTTTAAACTATGTTATTTATTTTCCTAAGATTTTCAAGATAACTTGGTGACTGTAGGTACTTCAAAACACCACCTTTTGTATATTATGTAATAATATTTACTTTACCGACAAATAATCATGTAGCGAAATCAGAACATGTCGCGCCGCTATTATTAGGATAATTGTGTAATTTGAACTTGCGATACTGACTGTATGTATGAAAGATCGAAATCACCCAGTATATATTTTAAGAGTTGTTTTTAATTGACTGTCTCACTCACAGACTTTCTATGACTCACAAAATACCAGCGTAAGGTAGCGTCTGACATAGTGGCGGCTGTACCTTAAGTGCGCTCATGCGCTGAACCACCAATAGGGAAAATGACAGGGTATGAAAATTAAAAATCTAGTTAATCCGTCAGTTAGGGGATGAAAAAATATTAGAAACGTATTTTTTTTTTTTAGTTTGTTGTACATAAAATGAAACTTAGATATAACGATTAAAAGTTTAGGAATAGGGGCTAAAACGTCATTCTACGTATAAAATATACATAGAAGTGACGTCACGCGACATTTCAAATCAATACATCGTCGAAAGTATTCGTTTCTGTTAAAAAATAAAAAATACGTGTGTAATGTTTTAAAATAAATGACGGACCAGACGGACATTAAAATAAAAATTAGTCATCTACCCTATTCAAGAGATTTAAAAATTACAAAATATTGAGTAATCTTTATTTTTACATTACCAATTAATTTTTTAAAATTTTTAAGTATACAAAAACGTATTAAAAATAATCTCTAATTATGGTGAAATATTTTGAACGCTTTAGTAAAACATTAAGACTTATTTTCCTAAAAAGACAAAGTCTTGTGTGCTGCGGCGAGTGCACGAGGTCTGCTAATATAACTTGAAGGACATATGAGTTCCAGTTTGGGTGGACTCCCTGCAAAGGAGGGAGAACGCCACCGCCCTTCGCGTGCCCCAAAGGGCTATCGCACAGCGGGTGGCGCGGGCCTACCGCACAGTAGGTTTCGCGGCGGCGTGCGCACTGGCGGGTACTCCCCCTTGGGAGCTCGAAGCGTGGGTGCTCGCCAGAGTGTATGAGTGGACGGCAGACCGGAGGGCGCGAGGAGAGCGCCCGGCTCATGAGGTCTGGGAAGCAGCGCGGCAGGAGGCCAAGGAGGCCATCGTCCTGCATTGGGCGGACGACCTCGCTGCCGCAGTTTTTGGTCGACGGACGCTGGACGCTATTGGGCCGGTCCTCCAGACCTGGCTCGATCGGCCGTTCGGCTTTCACTCCTTCCGTCTGGTGCAGGTGATGACAGGTCATGGTTGTTTTGGGTCTTACCTACACCGCATCGGACGGGAGGAGAACCCGTCGTGCCACCATTGTGGTGCGACAGAGGACACGGTGCGGCACACACTCGAAGAGTGCCCATCGTGGTCCGAACCGCGTCAGACCCTGGTCGCGGTTATTGCATAAGACCTCTCGCTCCCCTGCGTGGTACACGCAATGCTGAGTAGTGAAGAAGCATGGGCAGCGGTGGCCTCTGTGAATGCGTTATATTGCAGAAGGAGGCGGCAGAGCGCGAGCGAGAGGAAGACGCTCTCGCTCCAACGCTCCGACGAAGAAGAGTCGGTAGAAGAAGACGGAAATTTAACCGCCTTCTCCTTCCCGGGTGTGAGTAGCGGGTGCTAGGCGCGGGGGCGCCTACATCCGCGTTGCGCTACTCACCTTTCGCGGAACGGGAGCGATTGGCACACGACCGTTCCCGAGACCCCTCCCCGAGACAAGGAGGGGCATGATTTGGCCCGCCATCTCTGGCAAGCTTAGCCGAGGGGGTCCTGGTTGTAAAGGTTCATCCGGTCTCCCAGGCGACGCTGGTGTGCTCCTGGGTTTTTAGTGGGTATGGCGGCTTCTCCCGGAGAGTCCCACATATCCCTCCTGTCCCCCCACGGAATGATACATAAAATATTTTCCCAGGGTCAAAAAAAAAAAAGATACGAGTTAACACGCCTGACGCGTGAGACAAAAGATCGTTCATAAAAATTTACCGAGTAGTACAGTTAGTAGTCGGTTGTAGAGCGCCGCACGAGCGAACCGAGGATTGCCTAGAGCACCAGATGTTTGACGAATTGACCGGCCGGCAGGGCGTGAGGTGACGACGGCAGCAATGACTGACATCTCGTTATCAGACTATCTGTATAGTTTTACTGTATATGTGACGTGCTAATTATTGTTATATTGAAAATAAATTCATACAAACAATACCCGCTTTTAATAAAAAGGTGATTGAACCTTTCGGTTTAGAAAAATGTCGTCACTTTGATTTAATATATAAAAAATAGACATATACCTATTTTGTAAATTTTTTTTGTTGCATTTTCTAATTGTATTATTTTGGTAATGTGCACCACCACTGTCCACCAGTGTATACATAATTATAAATATTGTTACACAGTAAGTTCATGGTGGCGCCATCTATGAAAAATTAATCGTACTAACTCGTAAATCTTTTATAGACTCATGAAACAAAAACATCGTGAGGAAGCCTGGACTTATAGCAATCTAATAATCAGTTTGAAATTGCCAAACCCATCTTGATAAAGCGTGGTTAGGTATTATTTTTTTAACCTTGTAAGAAGAAGCGTTTCCTCAGCATTGGTCATTTATAGGCTCTTATTGATGATGATTATGACCTAACACTAACCAATACAACAAATCGATACACATGCAGGAAAATATAAGCCCTTAAAGGAACTCTATTTTTAAATAATATTTCGAATTACAATCACCGATAATATATTTTATTTTTAAAAAACCTATATTTATTTTTTATTAAAAATGTTTTATTTATTAAAGTATTATAGGTAATAGGCATAATACACACAAACTTTCATGTAATCGAAATAATTTCAATCATACCTTGCCTGACCCTCGTATCGATAAATTGAACTAAAGCTAGCTTTTTTCAATAGTTTGTTAACAATATTTCAGTATTCACCTAACAAACGGTGAAGGAAAACATACTGAGGAAAAACCTGGGCTTATAATTTCTAATTATAAGTTCGAAATGTTTTTCTCCGTAGACCAATTTAATTGTGTCCATAGTATAAGAAAAAAATAATTCTTCTTTCACGAGCCAATTTATGAATTATCTAAATTTCGTCAGCCGACACCATTAAGACCAAATCCGCTCGATGTTCTTTGCTATAGCAAAAAGTATATCTACACTTCACAATTGATTGCTATTAGCATTGTTTAAGTTACGATTACATTTAATTGCGCCTGCATACGCATATTAGCAATGTAAAGAACAATGGCGGATTTTCGAACTTAAGATTGGCTGATATTTTTTATAAAATGAGGTTTTACAAATATATACGTTAATGACGATACACAACTTAGGATAAACAAACACATTCCTATATAACACATAAGTAATATTGCTTTAGTTTACATTTTATGTTTTTTTGCGTAATATTTTTTTTTCTGAAGGTAAGCTATTAATAAGTTTGTATCGGAGTCGCGGAGAAACTAACGGGTTACCGGGGCTCCGGCTCGATGTGCAGGAGAAGGGACGAGGTGGTTTTTAGTCAGTAAGAGTCTGACACTCCCTCCCGCCTCACCCAGGCGGGAACAGTCATTCGATGATTTTCCCCCGTTGGAAAACGGTTAATGTCAACAAACGATATGCTACGAATATTTTTTTAATAATTATTTTAGTGTCACATACATTTTTAGTGAATTATGTGTCAAATATTTGAAAATGATTTTGATGAATTATCAATACATAGTATAAAACAAAGTCGCTTTCGCTGTATGTCCGTATGTATGCTTAGATCTTTAAAACTACGCAACGGATTTTGATGCGGTTTTTTTTAATAGATAGAGTGATTCTTAAGGAAGGTTTGTATGTATAATACATGCATATTGCACCCGTGCGAAGCCGGGGCGGGTCGCTAGTTTACTTATAAAGGACCTTGTCGTCAAAGTACAATGGAATTCTGGAAAGTTGGGAACTACGATGATATAGGCGTAGACGAGTTTTTATGAACTTAGTACCACATTTATCTCGCCCCTCGAGGTTTTAAGTTTTGTGTCGTCATTAAAGTTTAGATAATATGTCCAATGGAAGCAAAATTGAAGTGCTTATTTTTATGAAATCTGCAAGTAACACTGATCATATGACCGTTATAGCGAATCAGGCCGTGGAAGGCGATAATGACACTGTAATGGGAAGCACTTATATACTCACCAAATAACCCAAATCTTGTGGGCGAATGGCGCACACGGGAATAGCAACAGGTTACGAAAGTTTTTTTTTTAATTTTTACTTGGCTGTAGGAAGGAGTTTTTATTAAGTTAGACATCATAATCTAGTTAACAAACTACACAAAACAGTGCGCATGCATACATTCATTAGGTGAAAGCTCTTAATACGTTTCATTCAATTAATTCAGAAGTAAGTCAAAGTATTTAATATTCTAAAAATTTGATATTTGCTTAGTTTTTTTTTTATTAAAATTTTTTTATTTATTTGTTTTCATTTATTATCAAAAAAATCTTCCTATACTCTCATTACAGGATTTTCCTAATTCGACAGTGAGGCTCAATCTTGTGGAAAAATAAACATATTTAATGTACTAAAAAGAAATCATACACCAAATAGAAAAAATAAATATAAAACACAATAAATACACACA